ACATATAATATATTAAGAATATATATAAATATATACATATATATATATATATATATATATATATTAAGGTGCAGAGGATTATAATTATGACAAGCATCAGATTATATAAAATATTGTAGACTAAAACAAAACACTGGCTGTTACACTGGTTCAAATGTTCATACATTTATAAAAAACTATGTATATATGTTATGTTATGTTATGTTATGTTATGTTATGTTATGTTATGGATATGAATCTGAATCTGAAGTGACAGTAAGTGAACTGACCTTACACTGAGGCTCAAGCAGACTGTAGAGGACACCTTTCTCGCGAATAGTCAGGAGATCACTCATTACAATACATCCAGGAATCAGACTTGACGCCATGACAAGACTCTTGTTTTCACCTCCTTTTCATTACTGCTGCCTCATCCTTTCTAATCCACTGAACCCACTCAGCCTGAATACATTAAAACCTGATCCTAAACGTAACTGGTTTGAATGGCAATATTGTGCCAGTGCAGCAGCTGCCATGCAAATATATTTGACTACTCTGTGTATGCACTGTAACTTTTCTTTACTAACTGTATATACAGCCACTAGCAACAGATAGCAAGAAGATGTTTGTAAATCAAGCAAAATTTGTTAAAGGTACAATGTTTCACCTGTTAAAGTGTTTGTTCTCTACTTAGCTCCTCCAGCATCTTCCCATTAGAGATGAACTCTGAATACATTACTTGTGAAGGCTAAGTTTCAATCACACATACTTCACCCATTCAATGTTCTGTACCAGTATTAAAGATAAACAAACTAATTTATAACCAGTGGTGGAAAAGTTCTGTACTTACGTTCATTTTTGTGGTACTTTACTTTAGTATTTCCATTTTATGCTACCTTATACTTCTACTTCGATACATTTTAGAGGGAAATAGTTACTTTTTGGTTTTTTTTTGATTTTTTGTTTAACAGACAAATCCTTTATAAATGATTTTACAGTGTCGTAGATTAAAATACCCAATATATAAAATAGTTGTATTTTTAATCCCCAAAACATTGTATTAAAAATGTTTAACGTTAATATATTTGGGAATAATATATAATATTACATTTTTGTTTATATAATGTACTTTTACTAAAGTTACATTTTAACAAGACTTCTATTTGTAAGGGAGTGTTTTGACACTGTGGTACTTCTGCTACTGGCTACACCTGCTATCATGATCCTGTGCTACAGTAAAAATAAACAGTGGGTGTTGGGTTTGCACATTCAACGGCATAGAACACTGATGCTTTTGCGTTTCCATTTTCCTCAGTTTAAACAACATTTTACTAAAAAAGTGGACATTTATCTTGCAGCCATCAAAGCAATTAGTTACAGCAGGCAGCATTAATGGCTTTGGCGAAAGCTGTGAGAGGAAGAAATTTCAAGTGTAAGGAAATGTCTGGAAGTTGATAGATCAAGTTGTGCAAGAGCATTGAACTCTCATAGTTTATATGTCATTTGATTGTACATGTTACAATACCCACAGAATTAACCATCATAAAACTCAAAGGGCTTATTGGTTGGATATAATCTTGCCTAATAAATATCTCTTATGACTTCCACATGTCAAGTCTGTCTTTGTTTGCAGTAAGAACCATTTTCTCACACTGCCCCAAAACCTGCATTCACTCAAACAAACTGTGTAAATGTTTCCTGTACAAAAGGGGACACAACATAGTTATAAAACATGAAAAACACATTTTATTTCACATGTTGGATAGTAACAATCAAAATAAATGACATTTGTTAGACTTTTGAGTGCAGTGATACAAAGAATAAAAAGTGAGTAAAATACAACAAGTGACAATTAGATGGAAAATGTAACTTCTCTGTGACTATTACACACCACTTCTCCATCTCCTTCATCACCATCTCCTACTGTGTCGGCTCCTCCAGGCGTGGGCCTCTTCCGCCTCTTATTGAGCAGAGGGTTGTTGGACATGTCCAGGTCTTTGATCTTTACCTGGTCATAGTCAACACGCATGGTGGCCAGGGCGCTGGTCATTTCCTCCTGATAGAAGACAGAAACATTTTATCTGTAAAGCAGGTGCTTTACTGCCACCTTGTGGCCATATTCTGAAAAATAGATAAAACGATCTAAAAAGATCTAGACAGTCCCACCTTCACATCGTCCCACAGCTCCTTGTCCTCGGTCAAAACACGAGAGGTGTGGAGGGGTGTTGGAGGGACCACCATTGACTGCTGCAGTATAACAAACAGAAAAACCTTATAAACAAAAGGGGGAATAACATACAGATCTTTAGACACAGGGCTAACACTTACACTGATCCAGGGATGGTTCACAAACTGTCCAATGGTCATCCTCTCATTGGGCTCTGTCTTCAGTAACTGAATGATGAGCTGTTTTGCTACAGATGACATAAAATAAAACACAGTTAAACAACATCAAGCATTTAATCCAATAAGTCTTTAGTGCAATATGGACCTATAATGTGTTAACTGGAGATGTTGTGCAGGTTGTATTTAGGCAGTGGTAACAAGCTCTAAACCCAACACTGTCATGTTAGGCCGTTTTTAAGTTCTTATGAGGAACTTTCTTGCTTATTTACACATCTAGCAGATAAGGGGGCAACATCATCATGCATTCAGAGTTGTGTTTCTGGTCACCTGATGAATGGTAAACATACTTGTATTTGTATCTGGTCTACCGATCACTCTCTACAATGCTTTACAACACTTCCCATTCATCCATTCACACCTTCATGTCAGATTTACAGCCAATTTGGGGTTCCATATCTTTCCCAAGAACACTTGAACAGGGGGAGTCGGGACTTGATCTTGACCTTCAATTAGTAGACGACCCACTCTTTTTGGACTTTACCAATTTAAGTCTCTGTCTCTTTAGCTGCTAAATGCTGCACTATGTTCACCTGCTAGTCACTAAGTTTATTTATTTGTCGTTTGGTGCTGGGTAGGTAGATGTCAGTTGATTAATCAGAGCATTTGCTCTTTGCTGAAAACAGCTGCTTGTGGGCGGTGACGAGAGCGAACAGAGAGGTGATAATTCTCTCGGGTTCGTCACTACCAGTGACACAGGTTCACTTACACATAGTCATTTGCTCCATTTTTGATATAAATATACTGACTAGAGGAGCTTTAAATTGGAATATTCATTTTATTGTGAATATCATTCACTGTATGCCATATTTGTTTATTTTTGCAGATTTTCATAGAAAGTAAGAACTTGGAAATTTACACAACCCACAAAAGTTTTGAAATATTTTCCTTGTTATTTATAAATTTAATGTCCAAAGCCTGACCTTCCTCAGAAACATCAGCCCACTCAGGATTGGGGAACTCGTATTGACCCAACCTGATCCTCTGCTTCATGCCTGGAGAGATCGCCTGACCAGTGTTTGAGTAGAACGGAGGAAACCCACACAGGCTAGGAAGAGAAGAGAAGAGAAGAGACTATTTCACTTTGCTGTCTTTTCTTCTTTAATCAAAACACAGTGTTGAACATTAACATACAGTATACTAGAATAGCTATAAATCTTTCATCAAGTTGAATCAGTTGCAGACGCACATGATACTTACAGAATGTACATGATTACGCCCAAAGACCACATGTCACATGACTTGTCACTATTCTCCGGCCCAAGCACTTCTGGGGCTGAATGACCAAATAGACACAGAAAAAACCAACACAATGATGTGTAGAATGAAAGACACACTCGCACAAAAGCACATCAATATACACACACAACATGAAAAAAGGTACATTTATAATAGTGGCACAAATGTTGTGTTTACCTACGTTCACTGAAACGTATTATTGTGATGACAACACTCACCAACATAATATGGAGTGTAACATGGAGTCTGGAGGGAGTTGTGCAGTGTTGTCTCCTTAGCAAATCCGAAGTCGGTCAGTTTTAGTGTAGCGTTACTCTCCTTAGTGGTATAGAGCAGGTTTTCAGGCTGTAGAGTGCACATAATAAATGATTTAAAACAATGTGGGAATTTTTTCTTACATTATCTGTGAAGAATTATTTTCACAGCAGCAGTACCTTGAGATCCCTGTGAGCAATGTCCATGTGATGGAGGTACTCTATGGCTGTACCGATGTCGTGCATGATCTCTGACGCCTCTGAAGGACACATATGAGATAGACGTAAAGTGTACAGGACACAATGTAGAAATCCATGAATAAAACTACTTAATATGAACTCTAACCCTCTAACCCACCTCTCTCTGTGAAGGCCTGGTCCCCTCTGGCCTGAATGCGGCTGAACAGCTCCCCTCCCTCCATACTGAGACAAGATTAACAAAGAGATCAGAACTGGGGCAGTGAGGGGACTCTTGGCAAACAACCACAGTCCTCCACTGTAATCATGATTCGACAACAAAGTAAGTCATTGTGCCTCACAATTTACTGTTCAAATGAGTCCAGTTCTTCTGAGCCAGAGCGGACACAGATGACTCAAGCTGTAAGGACACATTTAAAGGGGAATACCACCCCAAAACTGATTTTACAGCCAGCTACTATGTTAGATTTATAGTAGAAAGTTAATACAAATACATAAGATGTGAATTATATGACGCCTGATTCCATGTGCTCAGTTTGTTTTTGTTCAAGACATCATATATGAAAAAAATTACTTTATTTCAAACTGCAGCTTATAATGTAGCTGTGTATCAGAAAGTATGTTGTGTTTGAATCGTGCTACATACAGGTATGAACACAGCCCAAAAAACAATGAGGATACGGTACAATCCAGTTATTCAAGCCATATTAACATTCGGTCAGTGATGCAAATGAATCCTGTAAAGTCTATTCTGTAGTAAACAAATAGCACAACAACACTTGACAACAGTCTGTACGAGATCATTTCCAATTTGTCCATCTGTTGCTCTGCTCTGCACTGCTCTCACTTTTATTTTCACTAATTGTTAATTAGTAAATTGTAACAATGGAATCTATGTATACAGACAGGAAAAAAGCCCGGAACAGATGACAAAATAATATAAAATACCAATATATATATATATTTAAGTCTTTCTATAACATGTTCTGTGGGAGGATGTCATTTTATATTTATTTAGGAAGAAGCCTCATGGAACAAAGAACAATTTCTAAGTTTTATTTAGGATACAAACAAAACCAGAAACAAAGAGTGTGACACAGTTCACATATTCTGTTTAGCAACGTTGTACTTTTCCCAAAAGTCCAAAATCAAATGCAAGCCAGGTGTGGGCTCAAATCAAACTCAGCTGGCCCTAGTTACCATACCAGACATTTCTAGATACAAGATACTAGTTCTGAACTGGGATTCGTAGGAGGCGTTCCATTATTCACGTATGTGTACGGCTTCATACGGTCTGTCAGCTTAGAGACTTTTTCAAATTCATAAATGAACACAAAGCTCTACTAGGAAATATCCACAAATCTATTTTAGTACTGATTTCCCATTAAAGACACACACAATATATGTAACTTAGAAGTGGTAATGCTCACCACTCCATTATGATGAGGAGACATTTCTTGCCCTGGTGCATGTTCTCATACAGGCTGAGTATTCGGACGATGTGGGGACCTCCAGAGACTCTCCAGTGCAGCTCAACCTCTCGTCTGGCTTTAGGAGTATCATACAGGATCTGCTCCACGTCACAAAAACACAAGTCAATGAAATGCTTCTGTTACATGTCTGTATAACGGCAGATCAGCTTGATTGATTTAAAAAAAACATATACATAGTTTGATATTCTTGTCAATAAATCAATAAACACACAGAGACAAACACATGCCCTATTGTGAAGACACTCACTGTTTATAGCACTGTTAGTGGTCACTATTAAAGCCATTAATCTACATTAAGAGAGAGAACATTAAGAGTGAATACTTTAAGAATGCATTTAGCAACATGCTTTTTCGTTAAAGACGCAGGGCTGCAGCCCTGATATCAGACAGAGGAGGAGGATATCCTCTTTTCCTAGACATGCAGACCCCAGCCCAAATCCTTGGGTACATAATTACAATGGATTTAAGCACTGGAGGAGGAAAGGGGCTCAGATATGGATGTTTATAAAGGCCTTTCTGGAAAAATCCCAGCATTACAACTCACAAGATTACTCAGTGCTAGCTCTTAACATTTCATCATACCTTTTCGGTTGTGGTTCACCACCCAAGATATTCCAAAGAAAACATGTGGAGGCACTCATGGGGCTGTGCTTCCTGTTTGTATTTTCCTAAGGCTTTGGTGCAACTCTACACACAGCTGTTTCTTGACTTACCAGCTCTGAATTCCTCAGTTCCTCAACTCATATTCCCAAGTTGCCTTTAAAAAAATCACTGCTAACCTTCAACAAGCTGAATACTTCATGTTGAGTTAAAACAAATGCAGATTTTGTTAAATGTCAGAGTCACAGATGATGATGTGAAGTATTAACAGAGCAGATCACTGTCTACACAACAATTGTGGAAATTGTGCCAAAGCATCCCAGACAGCACATCACTGTCTGACAGACACCTCCACTGTCTGGTTACCTCAGTAACTCAATTTGCTGTCATATTACTGCTGCATGCATCCATGGTTGAATTAATATTTCATCTGCGTCACATAGCATCCAGCCAACACCTCAAAGCATCACAAAAATCCCAATTAGTGTATTGTACAAGACACCATTGAATGGTGGAGATCACAGAGAAGAAATGAATAATTGATGGGACTCTTTCTTTCCAGTGACAGCAGCCTCCAGAGGACTGTTTAGATCACACACAGGATAAAGAAGCAGACAAACACACACACACACACACACACACCTTGAGGGCACATTTCTCTCCTGTATTCTTGCAATAACATTCCAGCACTTTGCCATTGATTCCCAGGCCGAGAACCTGAGCTGTGATTTTATAGTCGTCTGTCACTGCATTTTTCCTGAACTCCAGTTTAGAGTAAGCAGGTGGTTGAAGATCAGTGAGGCCGCTGTCCAAGCTGCTCCCCAGGCTGTGGGAGTCACTGTGGTGCGCTGTCCCGTGCTGCGCAGTAATTGGATTGGCCGACTGCTCCTCCTGGTTATGGTGCATTTTTTTTTTCTTGTAAAAAATCAACAGTGATGCAGAGCAAATCGCATCAGTCTCTGCCACAGAAAATATCCGGTGTCATCCTAGTTCATTCGCGTGCTGCCAGAGGACTTTTGTACTTCCCGACAGAACATCTCGACCCACTTTGAACACTGCAGGAGCGAAATTAAGTATCTATAAAACCTCCTTGGAGCACATAAAAGGGCGGGGGTCTGAAATCGCACCGTTATACTGACACAAATAACTCCAAAAGACTCTCTGGACCGATGTGTAGAGATCGTGAAATACACTAAATGGCTGAGAGGAAAGAAAATGGTGAAAAGATCTGGTACCCCTGCCTGGTCCTAATCACGGTTATCTGCCTCTTTCTGCAGGGTACACCAACCTCTCCAATTCCCTTACGTCAGCGCGGAGCGGCTCAAATTCATTTTCTTAAAGGAACAACCACGCGTAAAGACGCACGGCAGGGTACCAGTGGAGACAGCAAAAGAGCAAAAGCCAGGACAATAAATTAATTTACAATGTACAATGTTAAAGTCGAGGGAAGTCCAGGTGGAAACTGGACCCCCTAAAATAATAATGTTCTGTCTCCTTAATACAAATTTTGTGGAATCTCTTCCGGCTGTGGGATAGGAGTGTCCTCACCACACCCTCATCCTGCAAAAAGCACTGCCCATTATTTATGTAAACTGTTCCCTACATGTAGTCCGTGAATGAACCCATTAACTAAGAAATCAAGATGGAGTTAAAGGTTGGTATTCAGGTTGGTAGTCTCCAAAGGACATCGAGGCAATACCACCACACAGAAAGGGTGCCAAGAAATCCTTTAAATCTGAAACGAACCTTTTGTCTTGCATGACTGGCTGTGCTTTTCTCTTTCCTCACAGGAGCACCGATATGTTTACAATCACATCTCATTTGTATAAAATGTATTACATTAAAATATTGCATTATGTTGCATGTTTAGGACTTTGTATGGTGTCTCTTCTTTCACACTTTTGAGCCAATGTGTAACAACAGCCACCCAGTGTCTCTAATTTCATGTGAAAGTAATCTGTCCGTGTTACCAAAAACTTGTTTGGACAGGCATCATAGCTGGCAATATGAGCAGTTGAAAACAGAATCAAACCTGTTGCTTTGGTGCTGCCAGATGTGACCCAACTTGACCATTCAGTCTTCAGAACTACATTTTCTTTTCCTTTTTCATAATAACTAAACAATAACTAAATTTACGTTACATTTTGACGTTATTGGACATGTTATTGACATAAAAATGACTCATTATTTATACAGACTTGTAGTTTTATTTTCAGCACAAAAAATAAAGAATATATTCTTGCAGATTAAATTATTAGTCTATAACAGTGTTGTAGCCTACATTGCATTATTTGTATTCATGCAAACAACTTATGTAACAACATTTCCACTGATTTATCATTAACTGACAACATGTTTTGTAAGTTTTTCTTTGTGGGTGATTTATAGAAATCTGCTGTTTAAAAATTTAACAGCTGGATTTGACCTGATTCAGACTCTACTGAAGTGATAACAGCTGCAGGTTCCCTTTGCTGTGTGGCTGTATGTAGCAGACTGTTATCCTATAGTAAAGTGTTGGCTAACCCTGCAGGGCACGGTCCAGCATGCGCTCATCCTGCACAGGAAAGGGCATGGTGACACGCAGCTGTCTGTTCCCCTCCATGGTGCGCTGGATGGTTTCATAGGCGTTAGAGTTTCCAGACCAACAGCGACGAGCCACCTGTGGTACACAGAAACAGATTAGAGCTGGCCAGCAATCATCTACAATTTGAGCAGTTTTTTAGTGGGACCGGAACTCTTACCCCATTGGAGACGTCCCAGTTGAGCATCAGACTGGCGCGCTTTGCTGCCTCCTCTGAGCCGTCCAATAGCAAACCAAATCCTCCATTCATTACCTCACCCCTGTAGGTGAAATCAGAGAAAAAGTAATAAACACACTGACTTGGTGACAGACTTTGCAATCAGCAACCACACCCCTAGATGCAATCCTACACACTGGACCTTTAATGATTCACAATAACCATTCATACAGATTAGTATTTACTGAATGACCAGCAAGCCTTACCAGCCAACACCACCACCGTTGTGCAGGGCTACCCATGTGGCGCCCCTGAATGCATCACCAACAAAGTTTTGGACCGCCATGTCTGTAAGGGGGAGACACTGTGAGCTGTCACTTCACTTTTTAAAGTTATTCCTGCAGTGTTACTGGTTTATATTATATGAAGAGAGAGAGTAAAGGTTGGAAAAAGGAAAAGGAGTCTGTGTAAAACTAAGGTTATGAGTTTGTGGGAAAAGCCACAGAGCCACCCACACAGCTACTGTATTTTTATGTCAGTCTTAACTCTAGGACTGTAGCGCATGTTGATGTTTTTCATGTGTCACAATGTCTCCACTCCCAAGTCAAGTTACAATGCATCATTGTCCACAGAACAAAGCATAAAACTGACAACACATGACAAATGTTACAGTGGCTTTGTCCTGTGTACTGTCTAAGCCATTGGTTTCCTACAGAAAGAAGAAAACCTTCATCGTATGTTGGTAAAAAATAAAAAATTTTTTAGTTGTTTTTACCTTCCAGTCGTAGTTATTAAAAGTTAGTAAAACATATCTGTAGAGACTTGTATCAGAGTTACATGTTTGTAAAATAGACAAATTGGTAAATTAAACTGTAGATGTATCAAACATACCTGCACAGAACGCAGATCCATCATACACATTAGAGGTTTCTCTGAAGGGGCTGTCTGTGCCACTGACATCATGATGGTCTCTGCTAATAACCACAGGAGCCTGAGAAACAGAAATAACATCACTGTTGAGACTCCAGTGAAACCTTTATATCATTCAGACCATAGGAAGCATGAAATAATCTTCTTAACAGACAATTTATCCTCTTACTGAAACTCTTCCATCAGCGATAGCCTGGTTGATAGCCAAAGCGATGCAGACTCTTCCTTTCTGGTCAGAGTAGAGGATTCTGGCTTGGGAACCCACAACCTAAAGAATGAGAATACACAGAGGAAATCAGCTCATTGCAGCTATGTGTCACTTCATCAGATTTGGATTGAGAGAGCAAATGTGGGCATTAATTTCCATTCATTTAAGTTACTGGCCATTTTGTGCTTTCCAGCCTCTCTGATCCAGCGGATGTTGTCATTGTACTGTTGACGGATGCAATCAGTCACGCTGGCACTAATTTCCTCCAGGACAGTAGCAGCAATATTGTCCGTTATGGAAAGATCTTGGGGGTCGCCAGATGTGCACACCCAGCGAAATGGACCAAATCCCAAAGAGAAAATGTCCCTGAAGGACAGAAATCACTGTTGTCAAGTAGAAAACATCTGACAACAGTTTTTTTGCTCTGTCTCTTTCTAGACTTTTACTTGAATTTTCTATTAGAGGGTCAATGTTAGTTTGAATAAATAAGGAAATGCCTCACCCCATAATGTGCTGAACATATGACGGGTACCGGAACTCTGTTGCTCCTCCACCAACCTTTTCTACTTCTGCTCCTATAAAAAAAAAGAAACACAACCCCCTTTATTGGTCTGACATGGACTGAATGATAATGGTGATATGAATGTTATATTACTGACCAGCTCTCTGGGCCTCCAGGAGAAATGCGTTGCCATAGTCCCAGAAGAACATACCAGCATCGGACAGCTTGTTAATGGCCTTAACTTGTCTTCGAAGGCTGTGATTGTATGTAAAACACGTGGTATTTTATTTTAATAGACCCGTATATTGCAGGAAACACACCATAGCACAGTCCATCTGTGTGATTCATTTTACCTTTCTTGGACCATGGTTCGGAAACGATTAGGATCAGTCGTCATGAGCTGGTTTGCTTGGTGGAAGCTCAGCCGGACTGGGTAGTAGCCTCCGTTATATGGGTTATGAAGTGATGTCTGGTCTGAACCCAAATCCACGAGGAGCTCCCCTGTCCTCTCGTACTCCAGCAGCAGCCTCTCCCTGGTTGGAAAGTTATTAAGGTAGGGGAAGATGTCAATAGTATGTAACAACAGGTGGGTCTTTCACTGCAGACCTGGGTCTTTGTGTCTGTGTAACAGAAAGTTTTCCCCTCTCACTCACCACAAGTCTACAATGTTGCCATGGAAACCCAGACTGAGGGGAGTCTTGGAGCTCTTGGCCTCTCTGAAAGACACAAAATAATAAGAGTTACTGTATTTTACAGCAGACAGGTTCTGTAATGGGATACATTTAGTCTTTTCTGTGGACATATACAGTATATACATACATATTATAACCCAGGTAGCAGTTGTAGGATACATTTACTCAAGTACTGTACTTAGTACAAATTCGAGGTACTTGTACAATACCTGAGTACTTTCATTTCATGTCACTTTATACTTCTACTCCTCTATATTTCAATGGGACTTTTGACTACACAACAATTATTTAACAGCCATAGTTACTAGTTACTTTTCAAATAAAATAATTTACAGACAAAACATAAAATGAGCTCATAAAATATGATATAATGGAGTAGATTAAACTACTTAACAGTATGTAAAGTGGTTAAAATTACCAACACCTTGACTAACAGCAACATTAAAAAATAAGGTAATTGTTCGCCATTTTGGAAAATATGCGTATTACCTTTGTTTCTAAGACCTGGATGAGAAGATCAATACCACACTCATAGAGTTGTATGATTGAAATCCAACAATCCAATCACATCCTTGGATTAATTTTT